GTTCGGGCTGCTCAAAGCCCACTCCCAGTGGTGCACCTCTTCCAACAAGGCCACATCACCTAATCCTCCCAAATAGTTCAACTAGGGATAAAGCATCCAATCTATGAGCCTATAAGGGCCAGTCTCATTTAAACCACCACAGGCTGTCACCCTCTAAGTCTCCAGGAACACTGTACCACCCAACTGGGGACCAAGTCCAAGTGTTCAAATGCTGAAGACCAGGGGGGACATTTCTCATTCAAGCCACTGCGTGCCCTGTCCTGGTCAGTTTTACTGTCAATTTGACATATCTTAGAGTCAGTCATCTGGGAAGAGGGAATTGTAATTGAAGAATTGCCTCAATCAGACTGGCCTATATTGTCTTTGAGGAATTGTCTTGATTGATGGTTGATGTGGAGAGGACTCTGTAGTTTCTCAACTAAGAAAGGGGCCTTGGGAGCCCACTCTCATCCACGCTGGAGTAGTAACTATATTTGTTCTTGTTCGGATCTGTGAAAGCAGCCTCCCAGCTGAGAAGTGAAATTTCTGCATGAAAGGAACCTAGAAATAAATTGAGCTCCGCATGCGGGCACCTCTCACCTGGGGAGCATGCACCTCCCAGCCCCTCACGCAGGCACCTCTCACTATTTAAAGCTGGATCTGGTGTTTAAATGGTGAGGCGGTGATGTAGGCCTGAAAAGCACCTTCCCATCCCGGCAGTCTATATTAGAACTGAAAGTTTAAGGCCTGCCTTATCTATGTAGCAAGACAGTATCACAAAAACCAAAAGAAGAATGAAAAGTATAAAAGAAGGAGAGCGGAAAGGAAGGGCAGGTACTATACACATCTCAGTTTCTAGCCCGTTTCCTCTGTCTCCCTGAGTGTCTATGCCATTATACATTTGTCTTTTCCTTCCATACTGTCATTATGAATAAAGCATTCCTCCTCTCAAGGGTCAACCCCTCCACTTATGTCCTTGATCCCTACCCTCTCCCTACACGATTAATCTCCCTTGACATACAATTATGCCCCAGGATGTCCCAGCTTTAAAAGGCCCTCCATGAAACATGACTGGCCCTCTCTAGCCATGGCCTTAAGTTTAGAGTTGTCTCCACTTCCTTGTCTTCATGTTTTCCCTTCAACATTTCTGATGGGTCTTTAAGCCCCCTCTGTGGTTGCTCTGTGACTCCTGAGTTAGAGTGTTCTGATTTCCCTGTTTTATATTGGCCAACTACTCCCGGGTATAGGGCCTGCCCTGGAGTGTGGTTGACATACCTAATGACTCTTCATTGGAGAAAACTTGATTTTCCCTTCCCCAGCAGGTACCAGTTACAAATATCTTCTTGGCTAGGGTGGGATTTTGTGTCTACCCCCTCTTCTCCATACTGGTATGATACCTAAGTTTTTCGGCAAGTCTTGTAGCATGCTATCATGGTGTCTGAGTTCATATATGTCTGGATGATACTGTTTCTTTGGAGTCATGCACCGCCTCTGGCTTTGACAACCCTTCTGCCTCCTCTTTCGTGTAGTTCCTTGAGCTTTGAGGGGAATGGTTTAATACAGATATTTCATTTAGGGTTGGGTGCACTTACTCTCTGCACACTGCTCAGTTATGGATCTCTGGGTTAATTCCTGTCTTAGTTAGGGTTTCTTTTTGTTTGTTTGTTTGGTTGGTTGGTTATTTTTTTCTTTTGTTTTTGTTTATTTATTTATTTATTTACTTGTTTATTTTGAGACAGAGTTTCTCTGTGTAGCTTTGGAGCCTGTCCTGGAACTCGCTCTGTAGACTAGGCTGGCCTCAAACTCAGAGCTCCTCCTGCCTCAGCCTCCTAAGTGCTGGGATTAAAGGTGTGCGTCACTACTGCCCAGTTTAGTTAGGATCTCTATTGCTGCAATGAAACACCATGACCAAAAAGCATGTTGGGAGGCTTATATTTTCATATCATAATTTATCATTGGAGGAAGTCAGAACAGGAACTCAGACATGGCAGGCACGTGGGGGCATGGAGGGGTGCTGCTTACTGGTTTGCTTTCCCCTGAATTGCTCAACATGCCTTTTTATAGAACCCAGGACCAGCAGCCCAGGAATGGCACCACCCACCATGGGCTGGGTCATCCTCCATTGATCACTAATTGGGAAAATACCTTACAGCTGAGTCTCATGGAGGCATTTCCTCAACTGAGGTTCCTTGCTCTCCGATGATTCTAGCTTGTGTTAACTTGACACACAAACCAGCCAGTACAATTCCCATCGGCTGCAAGAAGCTTCTCAATGGGGGCTGAGTGAATCACTGATCTATGGATATAGCAGTATGCTGTTAGGAGTCATTTTATTGTTATGCTCCTTTGAAAAATAACAGTAGTAAGTTTTTCCTAGGGTTCATGACCTACCAAGCTACAGGTTCTTAGCCGCTTTAGCAGTTTTGGGGTTGAGTTCCCATTCACAGAGTAGTCCTTAAACACACACACACACACACACACACACACACACAGGGGTTGGATACTCCTATAACAATTGTGCCACTATTACATTATATATTTTGCAGGCACATTGCTGTTGTAGTAACTGGGTTTGTAGCGGGTGATATTGATTACCTTTTCCTCTGGTGTCATGAAAAATACCTTACAATACTATGAACACTAGTCAGTAGGAGTGAAACTTGTAGTTGGGCAACAGATCAATTTCTCCGTGTTTGATGTGTTTGATGGCATAAATGGTACCTTTAGCCATATGGCCTTACTGTCAGTTATAGAGAGTATCCAATAGCTTTGACTATTCTGTGATATTGGAGGAAGGGGCTTATAGGACCCTTGTTGGCCAACAACTCAACAAGACGAAACCCATTTTAGGCATTGGGAGGCTTTACTTGGTGGCTTAAGATATCTAGTTGGGGCATTCTCTCTCCCATTATATGATGACTCCATTTAAATTCCTTTCCTGTGTGTATATATTTTAGGAAACTTCTACAATAGTAAATTCCCATAAGATTTTTTAAAAGGCCATTAATGTTAGTTATCCCTCTCCAGATTCCTTCCTTTACCCTGTTCTCCCATCCCCCTCCCCATTTAATATTTTCTACCTGTACCTTTTTCTGGGCTTCCTAGTCAATTTTTAATTTGACATAGCCTAGAGTCATATGAGAAAGGAGTCCCAATTAAAGGATTACCTTGACCAGACTGACTTGTGGGTATTGTCTTGATTGTCTTAATTGGGCCCAACCCACTACGTGAGGTACCATTACTTGGGCAGGTTGTCTTGCCATGGGCAGGTGGTCTTGAGTTGTATAAAAAAGCTATCTGAGCGTAAGCCTGCGAATGAGCCAGCAAGCAGTGTTCCTCCAAGGTTTCTGCTTTAAGTTCCTGCCCTACCCTGACTTCCCTCAGTGATGAACTGTAACCCACAAACCCTTTCTTCTCCTAAGCTGCTGTTGGCCAGAGACAGTGACAGAGATGCTAAGTAGAATATAGGCTATCCAACCAACCAGTCTCTAGGCTTTAAAGTCTACTTGAATGTCTATTTTAGTCAGTTTAATGGTTATGACTCCATTTCATTTATGTAAATGCCTACTCAATTTCCCAAGCGTGTGTAAAAGGCACTTAAAATATCACATGATCTAACAATAACTAGATTGTCCTCTTCCCAACCTGTTTCCCCTCCAAAGTTTCATATATTATCAAATAGCATATTATCTATCCAATGTCTGTCAAAAATCTGGGACCTATTCTTTCTTGAAACCACTTCCAACCCCTGCAACAAATTCAGTGTCCAAACTTGTTCATATAACGCTAGACTCCCAAGATCAGAAAGAAGCCAAGCATGAAATCCAAAGTGCTTTTCAACTCTCTTGCATTATATTTGTCAAGGTCTCATTGACCAAAGCAAGTCAAGGCTTGCTGGAGCCAGTAGAGAGACACATCAAAGCTTATGTGTAATTTGAGACGCTATTTTTACAGTCTACCACGTTAACCTTCATGTTTCCATTTCCTCTTCCACACAGAAACTCGAGCGATTTTTTTCACACACTCATCTCACTCTTTGACCCAAACCCTACTACCAAGTCTTCACTTAAAAATCCATCTCAGAGGTGGGAGAGACGGATCACCCACTAAGAGTCCTTGCTGCTCTTCTACAGGACTTGAGTCTGGTTCCTGGCACCCAGATCAAGTAATTTACAACTGCCTTTAACTTCAGTTCCAAAGAACATCAAAGGCCTGTAAGCTTCATCAGGTACCTGCAGACCTACCTACCTTCTTCTCTCTCCCTCCCTCCCCCATATCACACATACACACACACACACACACACACACACACAAATCTGAAATAGATATTCAATATTCAATCTCAATCATAAACTGAAATCTCAGGACCTGGCATTCTTCAGTCTACCCGATTGCATGGCTTATAGCAGGAACACACACACACACAAATATTTGCTTGCTGAATGGGTGCACAAACGCTTTCTGTGTCCTAGGACTGAGCTGATCTATGAGTTGCTACACTCTTCCCACGTGAGCAGGATACTCACAGAAAACGTGAATTCCATATTGAGGGTAAACTGGGTGTTTCTTACACCCTACCTTACAACAGTAACCTTCCTTCATTTCCTCACTCCTACACTTGCAAAAAAATTAAAAATTAGAAGGGCTTTGGAAAACTTAGTCATTACGTCTTCACATTCCGTCGGATTCACGTCTCACTCTACCAGCACCAGACACAGCGCTGAAAGATACAAGGTATTCGACTTTTTCGCTCGCCAAGGACGAACAGTCAAGGTTCCGCGGACAGAACTAAAGAACGGCACGCTGGGAGCTGTAGTCTCCCTGGGAGACGCAAGACCGGGGGGAGGGGAGAGGGTTCCTGGAGCATCCTGGGAGATGTAGTCAAGCCTATACGCCCAATAGGGAACGAGGTATTACGCGCTGCATTCTGGGAAGTGTAGTCTTCCTGCGACCTCGCGCCTATGAGGTGAAGAGGCGCCCAGCCTGCCGCCATTATAGGTCTCGAGGAGCGGCAGCGGAGAGAGCCAGCGCGCAGGCGGGCTCAACCCCGGGCCGGGCGGGCCCCGCCTCCAGAGAACCTGGAGCCCGCCCCTCGCCCAGGCTCCGCCTTCCCCCACGTGTCTGCGGCCGAGGGGAGGCGCCTGAGCCGGAGCGGGCTCTCCACCGGTCCGGCCCGGTCCTCACACAGGTCTCCGTCAGCGGCTGCCGGATGCTTCCGCCCCGGCTTTGGCGGGCCGGGCTGGACGCTTAGTGCCCGGCTCGTGCCCTGCCAGAAGCGCCCGCGGGGGTGGCAGCGGCCTCCGCCCCGCGGAGACCGAGCTGCTGGAGGACGAGGCGGCGGCCGCGGGGAGGAGGATGGGGGCTAACCAGTTAGTGGTGCTCAACGTGTACGACATGGTGAGTGCGGCCCCTGGCGGCCCGTGCGAGCCGGCCGACCGGCCCGCTGGGACCCCGGCCCCTTCCTGCCTGGCGTCCCCGCCTCCAGCTTAGTTCTCCGGGATGGGGGGAGGGGACCGTCGCGCTGTCTCCTAATCCCCAGACTGGCCGGCGCGCCTCCGGGAGAAGCCCAGTCGGCCCGAGGGAGGGCTGGGGCACGACCCTCCTCCGAGCTCGGCTCCCCTGACTGTGGGCCCGACCCCTGGGCGGGTGAGCCGTGTCCCCTCCGAGGCTTCCGTCGCCGTGCGACCTCGGCGCCACCGCCTGGCCTCCGAGCTGCCCGCTTGCCCCCTCTGCCCTGCTCCTGCTGACCCTTGGCGGCCTCCAGATGCTCAAGTCTCCCACCAGCTCCCAAGCCCCTCGAGTCTAGAAAGTCACAGCCGCGATGCGGACGCTAGCGTCTCCCCAAAGGTGAACCGGAGCCAGCACACCCTCGCCTCCGAGGCCGCCTCATTAAAATGAATGAAGCTAAAATTTATCTAGAAAATAGCCCGGTTGAATTATTTAGAGACCACAGAGGTGCTCCTGTGCTAAGATTCTGGAGACCACTTTGCAGGTGACGCAACAGGTGGATGACATGACCAGTAGAGAGGGAAGGGAAGCCCTGTTTATTGTGTCGTCTAACTTTGAAGAACTGTAGACCCCCAGAGCAGGGGCCAAAGACTGGCCCCCCGTGGTTGCACTTGCAATACCCATAGAATGGTCGCCACAGTGAGATGCAAGTTTGGGTTTGTTCCCTTGCCTTTGGTGACTTCATTTTTTTTTTGTTTTGTGGAGGATTACCTTAGCTTGAAAAGCCTGAAATTTTTTGTATGTGCGTTGACAGATGAGAAATTCTCCGTCATTATTTCTGTTGGCTTAAAAATACTGAAAGAAATTCGGCAGTAGGGAGTCTTGGTTCTTATTTACAGCTCTAAGCTCTTTGTATTGTTTATACAATACAAATATACAAGGGAACTATTGATGGCTAGGGATGCCTCATGCCATATCTAGGAGTCAACATTGACAGCCTGTAACTACAAGTGAGGCTTCTAGGAGGTTCCAGTGTAAGTCTGGAGATGAAAGGAGGTAGGTTAATAGACGAGGAAAAGTGAATCATGATTGAAAAAGTTGAATAACAAGAGATTCTAGAAGAGCATATGACTAATAGCCCACACTACTACTGGTTAAGAAATTATTCTCTGGATTTAAGCTTTTTGTGTTCCATTCCATGGGAATCCTTTCTTCAGACTTAATATTGCACTTTTATTATTTCTGTGCCTTCTGCCTATCAGACTCTGAATTTTTTTTAATTGATGGAAACTATTATATACTCTCCTTCTGGATATGTTTGACTCTGGAGAATATATATTGCGGTATCATCTCTATTTTTAATAAATTAGGAGTATACAGTGACCAATGGCCATAGTTATAGAGTTTTGCTTTTTAAATTGAAAATGCATTACATGACATATAGTGTGTGTTCTGTGAATTGGGAAAATTGTTACTAATTAGTGAGGGCTAGGGAAGATAATCAAACTATGTTTTTTAGGGGAAGAGTGTTTTAAGTGATGATAAAATATGAAGCAATTAAAAAAATTTATTGCTCCTATCTAGTTGCAGAGAAAGCAGACAGAAAAAAAGAGTGAGTGACCTTCCCAGGTGACTAAAAGCAGGGTCTAGAATTTCTAGATGACAGTCTTGATTCAGTATTGTCTCTGCTGAATGATTCCCTTAATTATTTCTTACATGTTGCTTATTTCATCAAGAGGAAGAGAAGCATTTGAATAAAAATGTTTTAGAAACTTGCCCTTGTATGTTCTTTTGAGGAATTTTGATCTATGACTGCTTATATCACTAATTCGGAAACTTATGGTTACTTAGTTTTGACCCTGTAGAATCCACAGATAGGATGTTACCTCTGCTCTCAGGAATTTGGGATAGCATAAGGAAGACACAAGAAGGGTTATCATTTGAAGCAGATCAGCATTATTTTACTAGGAGCAGAAGAGGGTGCAAAGGAGATGATGGTTTTGTAGCTGTAGAATTAGGAAATGCGGAAAGAGAAAAAGGGGTGAACTAGAGGCAGTGGCCGGATCAGTCAGCGTGAAAAGGACAAGAGTAGGGAAGCACAGGCTGACCTGGGAACTTTTAGCTGGAAGGTAGGATGCTTGAAAGAAAACAACTGGAGTGAGGGAAGGATTGTGAGGACTCTGTGAGCCAGGGAAAACACTTGTTTTCCTCGAGGGGAACACGATGTGATCACAGACTTTAGCACAAAGCCAAGTGGATTAAGGTGTACATTTTTCTCTGTTACACCCATTTTTCTCATATCAGTTGTACTTTTTGATGTGTTTTGCTTGATGTTTAGGGTAAATTCCTTTTATCTTTGGTTATAATTTCTGTTCTTTGTAGATGCCTTTGATGATAATTGTGTTTGTTTATAAGCCTGGTATATCATCTATTCCAAAATCAACCACTGGATTTTCCTGTTGCAATCATCGATCAATTGCCATGTATGTATCCTTGTGTCTCTTTGTCACCTGCTTCAGCTGTGACTGTATTTTTCCTGTTCACTAGATTGGATGGCTGTATATCATTCCTCCTTTTCTACACCTACCACATAGATGTAAATAATGAGCAGGGTTGCGTGCTGCCTTTCTTTTTGTGGAGGACTAATATGGTCCTCCAGAGATTATGCTAAATTGTTAACTTTTTTTTTTTTGGTGATTATAGTTCTCTGTATACTTTGGGGCAACCTACTACCAATTAAATAGGGCCAGGTGTAATTCTCTGAAACTTGGGAATGGATTATTCATATATCCCTAATTTATCTGTATTTATAGAAAGTCAGGCAAATCAGATTTCTTTCCATTACTGGAATAAGTCTGTTATATTTGCTTTAACTTAGTCTTTATTTTTAATAGCTCCAAAATTTCTGTATTTCAGGCTATGTTAGCTACTAAGGAATTTCTTAAAAATTAAAATTTGCAAGTGTTTATGTTTATCAATTCATCCCAGACACAAGTTTCTTCCTTTTAAAAATAGTACCTGTGCATTTTCAGAGCCTTTAAAAAACAGAAAAGAAGGCCGGGCGGTGGTGGCGCACGCCTTTAATCCCAGCACTTGGGAGGCAGAGACAGGCGGATCTCTGTGAGTTCGAGACCAGCCTGGTCTACAAGAGCTAGTTCCAGGACAGGCTCCAAAACCACAGAGAAACCCTGTCTTGAAA